AAAAAACAATTAATTTATAAGACTATCAAAAAGAATAAAATAATACACAGCCAGGCACCACAGTGAGTACTAGTAACAGAAACTAAGGCAGGAGAATCAAGGATCACCTGAGCCCAGGAGTTCAAGGCCTGCCTATTAAATATACTGAGAGCCTGTCTCTTCTGGGAAAAAATTGAAATAAAACACTTAGGAATAAATTTAACCAAGGAAATACAAGACTTATATACACTCAAAATTACAGGACATTGCTGAAATCTTAGCGTAAATAAACGGTAAGACAACCCTTTATGTAAGACAACATTAATTAAAGACCTAATATTAAGATTCCAATACTCCAAAAAGCAGTCTATAAAATCAGTGCAATCCTACCAAAATTCCAATAGTCTTTTTTTTGCAAAAATGCAAACTCTGATCTTAAAATTAATATAGAATTATATAGGATCCTTAGAAGCCACAACAATCTTAAAAAAGAAGAACAAAATTGAAGGATTCACTTTTTATTTCCAATCTTTTTCAAATTCATTTATGGTCAACTGATTTTCCGTAACAATGCCACCATCATTCAATAAGGGAAAAAACCCCTCTTCAACCAATGGTGCCAAGAAAACTAGATATCCATATACAAAACAAGGAAGTCAAACCCTTACCTTAAATCATAAATGAAAATTAACTCAAAATTAATTAGAGACCTATTTAATAGAACAACTAAAGTATAAAACTCTTAGATGAAAAATGGGGTAAATCTTCATGATCTTGGGTTTGAAAATACTTTCTTAGTTGTGACAATAAAAGCACAAGCAGCTACATCAAATTGGACTACATCAAAATTTAAAACTTCTGAGCATCAAAAGACTATCAAGAAAATAAAAAAGAAAACCTACACAATGAGTTTTTGCCAATATCTTCAAATAATATGTCTGATAAGGTTCTAATATACAAAATGTACAAAAGCTCTTATAACAACACCAAGAAGAAAACCCAATTTAAAAAATTAGACATTTCAGGGCTGGGGCTGTAGCTCAGGGGCAGAGGGCTTGCCTTGCACATATGAGGCACTGGGTTCAATCCTCAGCACTACATAAAAATAAATAAATAAATAAATAAAGATATTTTGTCCATCTACAACTAAAAAAAAAAGTTTTTTTTTTAAAAGATTTTTCTCCAAGTAAGATATACAAATGGCCAATAAGCACAAGATGCTCAATGTTCTTAATAGAAAAATTCAGTTTAAAACCACAATTGATATCTCATATCACACACACTAGTGTGACTATTTTTTCTAACAAAAACTAACGAAGTATTGATGAGGATATGAAAAACTTAGAACCTTCTTACACTGCTGATGAGAATTTAAAATAATACAACTGCTGTGGAAAACTGGCAATTCCTCAATAAGTTAAAATTGTCATATGCCTTTGCAATTCCACTTCTAGGTATATACTAAAAGTAAAAATAGGTGTTGAAACAAAAACATGTACATGAATGTTCACAACACCACTATTCACAATAACCAACAAGTATTATTTATGTCCCTCAATAGAAGAATGGATAAACAAAATGTCATTTTACTATGAAAAGGAATGAAGAACTGACACATGCTACATATCTGGATGAACCCTGAAAACAGTATATATTTTTACCACAATAAAAAGTTCAACACTACATATAATCCGCAATGAATGAAAATTGTAAACCAAGGGCTGGGGTTGTGGCTCAGCAGTAGAGCGCTCGCCTAGCATGCACAGAGCCCTGGGTTCAATCCTCAGCACCACATAAAAATAAATAAATGGAATAAAGGTATTGTGTCTAACTACAACTAAAAAAATAATAAAAAATTGTAAACCAATTGCACTCAAAATAGCATCCTGAAAACAAATTCACAGGGATAAACTTAATAAAATATGTATAAAACCTGTACACTGAAAATGGAAAACACTGCTGAGAGAAATGAAGAGGAGGCAATAAACTTCTCTTGCTGAGAGAAAGCTAGAGGTAATTATTTTGAAAAAAACAGAGTAAGGTTCACATTGTGGCATGAAAGTAGAGGCCTTAAAATGGTTTTAAGAGGGAGTTTTAAATGAATAACTTTTCTAGTCAAGAATAATTATATGCTATATACTTTCACAGAGGATACAGTTTTAAAAATCTGGGTTATGATATGAGTAAAGGACTAACAAAACTTTTATGTGAACAAAGCCATTTGTGAACCTTCCTCTGGTACTATTAGTATGATAGAGGTGGAATGTCAGCAATGCTACCAGGCAATTCTGCTTTTGGTAAAAATGACCCATTTGGCTTCTGCACTGAGGATGCACCTAATGAAAAGCCATACCTCTGAACCTCCCTAAATACATTAAAATCATGACATTCCCTGTAAGGTTTTGATCAAGGGCTAAGAAATGGGGCTGGGGCTATAGCTCGGTGGCAGAACACTTACCTAGCACATGTGAGGCACTGGGTTTGATCCTTATCACCACATAAATAAAATAAAATAAAGTCATGTTGTTCATCTACAATTACAAAAAAAAATTTAAAGGCTAAGAAAAACAAAATTTCCAAGACATAATGGATCTAGAACCTCTACAATGAAAATTATAAAACAACGAAGAAAGAAATTGAGTAAGACAGTAAATGTGGAAAATCTCCCATGTTCATGGACTGGGAGAATTTAATAGTTAAAATTGCCTTATAAATTGATCTACAAAGTCAGTGCAATACCTATCAAATACCAATGACATTTTTCACAGAACTAGAAAAAACAAACCTAAAATTCATATGGAAGCACAAAGACTTCAAAATAGCCAAAGAAATCCTGAGCAAAAAGAGCAATGCTGTAGACACCACAATACTTGATTTCGAAATGTACTAGAGTCATAATAACAAAAACAGAATGGTACTTGCATAAAAATAGGCATTAAGACCAATGGAATAGAACAAGAATACACAGGAATAAACCCACACACTGAAGGTCATCTGATTCTAAACAAGGGAGTCAAAATTTTTTTTTTTTTATGAAAATAGTCTTTTTAACAAATTGTGCTGGGAAAATGGGATATCCCTCTGTAGAAGATTGAAATTCAAATCCTTATCTCTCACCCTGTACAAAATTCAACTCAAAATGGATCAAAGATCTTAAGTTCTGAAACTTTCTAATGACTAGAGGAAAACATAAGGGAAACAATTCAAAATATTGGTTTCACCAACCATTTCCTGCATAGTGCTCCAATAGTTCTGGAAATAATAGCAAGAAATGACAAGTGGGATTACATCAAATTGAAAAGCTTCTGCACAGCAAAGGAAACCATCAACAGGATGAAGACAGCCTACAAAATGGGAGAAAATCTTTGCCAGCTACTCATCTGACAGGAATTAATATCCAGAATATTCAAAGAACTAAAAAAATGTAATCCAATCAATAAATGGGCAAATGAGTTTAACAGACACCTTCCCAAAATAAACACAAATGGCCAATAAGAATATGAAAAATGGTAAACATCATTAGCCATTAGGGAAATGCAAATCACAAAAACTACACTGAGCCAGTGTGGTGACTGAAGCACCCCTGGAACCCCAGCTGCTAGGGAGGCTGAGGCAGGAGGACCTTGAGTTCAAACCCAAGCCTCAGCAAAGCTAGGCGCTTCATATATTTATATATATTTAATTTAAATAAATAAATTTTAAAATATTTTTTTAAAAATTAATTTTAAAAAAAAGCTAGGCACCAAGCAACTCAATGAGACCCTATCTCTAAATAAAATACAAAATAGGGCTGGGGACGCGGCTCAGTGGTCGAGTGCCCCTAAATTCAATCCTTGATACCAAAAAAAAAAAAAACCTACATTGAGATTCCATATCACCCCAACCAGAATGGCTACTAGTAAGAAATCAAAAAATAACAAATGCTAAGAATGTGGGAAAGAGGAATCCTTACACACTGCTGATGGGAATGTAAATTAGTAAAGCCAAACCAGTATGAAGGTTTCTAAAAATATAACCATCATACGATACAGTTATATCATTCTTGGGTATATAGCAGAATGAATCAATGCTAGCATGCAAAAAAAGAGACACCTGCATTCCCAATGTTTATTGCAGCACTGTTTACAATAGCGAAGATATGAAATCAGTCTAGATGCCCATGAATGAATGGATTAAAAAATGCTATATATAATACAATGGAGTATTTTGCAGTCATAAAGAAGAATGAAATTATGTCATTTGCAGGTAAATGGATGGAACTGGAGATCATCACGTTAAGCGAAATAAGCCAGACTCATACAAGTATTCCACATTTCCTCAAATGCGGCACAGAGAGTGAAGGTTGGGTAAGGAGGACTACAAAAAGTAGTAGGGAGTGTGTCAGTAAAATATGTAAACAGAGAGAGTGGTTATCAATAAAGCACGGATACTTCACAATGAAACTCGTTATTCTGTACAATTAATATTTGCTAATAATGATAAAGTATAAATTCAAATAAAAACTTTACAGCAGATTATTACTGTGGTTATTAAATTTTAAAGTATATTAAAATCACCAATTTACTGAATTACGTCATTACATCAGGGTCCCTTTCGTCACGTTAAAGTGTCCACCCAAACACTGTCTGGGCAATTTTGGGAGATCACCACACACAACTGAAATGGGAACAAAGCAACCCTGTGTGGCAGGACGGAGCCTTCGGAGCCAGGGGCCTGGACTCGGAGTCGGGCACACCGGGCATTCCCGCCAGCCCAAGGGAGCTAGAAGGGGCCTTGCTCCTCCACTGGGGCCGCGGCCCCTAAGGTCCTAGCGCTGTCACCCGCGGCCCGCAAGGCGACTCCGTAGGGTCCCGACACAAACCCACGCCCCCTCCCGCGCAGCCGGGTCAGACCACCAGGGGGCCTCCAGTCTGGCCACCGGCCCGGGCGTTTCCCTGGCAACCCCTCGGCTCCGCCCGACCGGTCCCAACGGCAGCCTAGCAACGGCCCCTGCCTGCGCGCGCCCGGCCCCCGGCGCCCACCTGTTGGTCGCATTCCGGACATGACTTGGTGGCCATCTTTACTTTCTTGGCTCGAGTTGCAGACATGCTCCTCTCCTTCGGCAGCGGCGGCTCGGGCTCCTCCCCTAAGTACCTGAGCAGCCCGGCCTCCGGTAGCCCCGTCCTCACTCCCGCAGGTAGGACCCAGGATCTGACGGCGCGCGCGCACGTGCGCGAGCTCGTGCCGGGCCTGCGTGCGGAGGGGCGGGGCGCCGTGGTGGCCGGCGGTGGACTGAGGGTCCCCGGCGCCCGGTCCTCGGGACTGAGGCTCACGTGCCCCAGTGCCTCAGCTTGTGCCCTGCACCCTGCGCCCCCGGAGCTCGCCCCGAGTCTCACGAGGAGCCTGCTGGGCAGTCTGGCGTGGCGATGGCCAAGTCTCCTCCCGGGCGGACTGCGGTGTGCGTGGCTCCGGGAACCGGGGTCGAGCTCGGCCTACGGCTGCCGGGGTAGGGCGGGCCGTGGTGCTGGGCACGCCCCCTCCCTGGCAGAAGAAACTTTTAACTGTTCCTTTGCAGGACAAATTGTTTGAACTCCCTGAAGGGAAAGGGGACGGTACCATGTTTAGCACAGGTCCTGTCATTTAGTACACTTCAGTAAATATTAGCAAGGCTAGTTGGCGAGCAACTATAATAGATATTTGACGAAAGCCTTGGACCCGAGGCAGTAGTTGAAAGTTCATTCATTTAGTCAAAAAATAATTGTTTAAGGCCCATTGCAGATACATTGAATAATATTAAATGTCTGCCTTGGAGGAGCAATCTCCACTCTGAGCGGGTGCCTAAGTTGCCCAGACTGTCCTGGAATTTGTGATCCTTCTGCCTCAGCCTCCCATCCCAAATAGGTGGGATAACATCATGAACCACCACACCGGCAAGGATATTCATTTTAAATTTCTATTCAAAATGAATTGATACCGGGTGCAGTAGCGCACGCTTGTAATGCCAGCGACTCGGGAGGCTGAGACAGGAAGATTTCAAATTGAAAGCCAGCCTCGAGGCACTAAGCAACTCAGGCTCTGTCTCTAATAAAATGCAAAAAGGGGTTGGGGGGCTGGGTATGTGGCTCAGTCGTTCAGTGCCCCTGGGTTCAATCACCAGTACCAAAAAAAAAAAAGGTGATGTATATTGAAAATTCATATAACAATCCTCATAACTGGCCAGTTCTAACAATTTGTCCTATAAAGTAGTAAATTTTAAATCATCTTTCCTTGAAAGAAATGAATTCCAAAGCCATGATTTCCTATGCATGAATTTTCTTTTAAGGGAAAATTAAATTCAAAACTTTTGTCTCATATTTGTAAAATTTTTAGTTATAACTTTTCACAGCTGTGTGATGTCAAGCTCCTTGCCTCTTTGATTAATAAAAATTGTTAAAATATGGAACATTTCATAACAATATTTATGTTCTTCCAAGTTAACTTAAATTTGTACCCTTGATCCTAATGGAAAAACATACTATGTTCTTCCTTACACTAAATTATTAAGAACCAAAAATCCTCCACAAAATACTAGCAAACTATATTCAGCAACATATTAAATGAATTATACACCATGACCAAGTAGGACTTATTCCTGGAATGTAGGAATGTTTCAATATATAAAAATCAACTGATGTAGTATCCCACATTAATGAAAGGAAGGGGAAAACCATATTACCATTTTGATTAACGCAGAAAAAGCATTTGACAAAGTTAAAGACTCTTTCACGATAAAAACACTCAATACAGAAATTAAGTGTTCACCTGGATGTGGAAAATTAGAACTCTTGTCCACTGCTGATAGGAGTATAAAATGGTGCAGTTGCTGTGGAAAGCAGCATGGATGTTCCTCAAAATATAAAACATAGAATTAGCATTTAATCCAGCAGTCCAACTTCTAGGTATATGTACTATATTAATCCATTCTCTTTTGGTAATAAAACAATACCACAGACTGGGTATGTTATTTTAAAAAAAGCTTATTTTCACTCACAGTTGTGGTCCAAAGTCAAGGGACCATTCTGGTGATGACATTTGTAACAGTCAATTTGGATTAAGGAGTAACACATTGTTTTTGGTGTGTCTATGAGAGTGTTACCAGAGAAGATAGTCTGAACAGACTAGTTAGGGAATACATGTCCCCCAATGTGGTTGGACACCATCCATTAGGCTGGGGTCTTTTGAGAATAAATACAGAGGGCAAATTGATAATTCCCCTCTGATACTTGTCTTCTGCCTTAGACATCAGATCTACATGTTTTTGTTTTTTGTTTTGTTTTGTTTTGTTATCTACAGGTTTATTGGCCTTTCCACTCTAGGACTTAACTCCATCAGCTCCCTCCCAAGGTACTCAGGATTTTGTAGAGAATTAACACCAGTAACTTCCCTGATTTGAAGGCCTGCTGATGTGGGCTGAGAAATGCTACCAGCATTCAAAGAGTCTATAACCTGCAGAGGATCTGTCTAGGACTTTTGAGCCTCTATAATCACATGAGACAATTCTCTACATTTCTTATGGGATTCTGATTAATACAGCCTTGTTGCTGGCAGAGTCCCCAAGCAGGGCAGGGCATCATATGGCAAGAGTCAGGGAGCACACATGTGTATGTATCTTCTGGTCTTTCTTCACTAATATTCAATCATAGAGGATCCATCATGATGATTTTATCTAATTCGAAGCTCCTCCCAAAGGCCCCACCTCTAAACACCCATAATCAGATTAAATTTCCACCCTCTTAATACCTTACAATGGAAGTTAAAATCTAGTGTGGGTTTCTTAAAATTTTTATTGGGCATTATAATTATATTTAATAGTGAGATTCATTATTACTTATTTGAACATGCACACAATATCCTTTGGTTAATTTCATTTCCCAGTACTTCCCTTTTCCTCCCCTTCTCTACTCTACTGATCTCCCTTTCATTTTCAAGAGATTCCTCCTATTTTTCCCTCTAACTTCCACATGAGAGAAAACATACCCCTTCTAGTATGAGTTTGGGTGGGGGAGAACCACATTCAAATCATAGCATACACAAAATTTGAAAGCTAGGACTCAAACAGATATTTGCACACCAGTGCTTAGGGTAGCTTTATTCACAAAAACCAAAACGTAGAAATAACCCAAATGTCCATTGACTGGTGAGTGGATAAACAAAATGTAGGGTATGGAATACAATGGAATATTATACGCCATAAAAGGAAAGAAATTCCAACATGCTATAACTTGGATGAATGTGGGAGACCAATCTAGCATGTAACTGGGTCCGACTCCCCTGCTGAGCAGTGTGGCATCCTGTGGGGTCATGCTGCTAGATAGCCCCAGTCTTCTAGGGTTCCAGTGACTGTGTCTTGTGCAGGGGTGTGTCTCTCCGCATCCCCAGGGATCCAATCACCTCACCTGTCCTTGTAACCCTGCCCCCCTTGACCTTTATCGGACAGGATTTCCAAAGAATTTAGATTCCTCTAATAAAAGGTCACTCCAAAGCATGCTTGCGCTCTCTCTCTCTCTCTCTCTCTCTCTCTCTCTCTCTCTCTCTCACCAGCCTCTTCTGTAGTTCCTTGGTCTCCCCTTTGGAGAGCATGAGGCCGAGGGCAGAGGAGCCATCCCGAGCTTGGTTTAAAGGTAAACTGTGTGTCTGTTTTATTTCTAACGCCTTGGGAATTTCCCCTGAGTGACCTTGAGTTAGCCATCTGTGCTGGACCGCAGATGGCAAATGAACCTTAACGACATTACGCTAAGTGAAATAAATCAGATACAAAAGGACAAATATGATTCCACTTATATGCGGTATCTAAAGTAATCAGATTAATGGAGAAAGGACTACAGGTATACTTGCTCAGTAGTAGACTGCTTGCCTGGCATGTACAAGGCACTGAGTTTGATCCCCAGCACTGAAAAAAAAAAAATCATAGAAACAGAAAGTAGACCATCAATTACCAGACCCTAGAGAAAAGAAAAAGGGGATAAATATTGTTAATGCATACAGTTTTAGTATGGTATGATGATGAAAAATTTAGTATGGTATGAGATGGAGAGCCGTGATTCTTATATAATAATATAAATGTACTTAATGTCACTAACCTGTATACTTAAAATGATATAATGAGACTTGAAATGTTATAATGAAATGATATAAGGAACAGAAATAGAAGGAAACATCTTTAACATGACAAAAGCCCATATCTGAAATATCCACAGTTAACATCATACTCAATGATGAAGGACTGAAAATTGTTCCCTTAAAATCAGGAACAAGACAAGGATACCCAGATTCACTTCTACTTAAGTCAGCATTAAAAGTTCTAGCCAGAATAATTAAGCAAGAAAAAGAAATATAAAGCACCTAAATTGCAAAAGAGGAAGTAATATATTAGAATCATTTAAAATACCAAAGATATTAGAAAAATGAACAGGTCTGACGAATTCTTGTCTTTAAAAAGTTGTAAACGCTGGGGCTGGGGCTGGATTTGTAGCTCAATGGTAGGGCACTTGCCTAGCAACCTAGGCACTGGATTCGATTCTCAGCACCACATATAAATAAATAAATTAAAGATCCATCAACAACTTAAAAAAATTTTAAATAAGGATTAAAAAAAAAAAAAAAAACTTAGAGCCAAGCATAGAGGCACCTGTGTGTAGTCCCAGCTACTTGTAAGGCTGAGGTAGGAAGATTAGGAGTTGGAGACCAACCTAGGCAATTTAGCAAGACCGACCTCATTCACTAACATCACTACCACCCCCAAAATAAAGGAAAAAAAAATACTTACTATAAATACTACAAGTCATTACGAAAAAAAATTACAGTTCTAAATAAATGGAAAGGTATTTCATGTTCATTAGGTAACAATACTCCCCAAATGGATCTACTTAGTCAACACTATCCTTATCAAAACCCAGCTAGCAGCCAGTGCAGAGGCGCACGCCTGTAATCCCAGCAGTGTTCAAGAGGCCGAGGCAGGAGGATCAAATGTTCAAAGCCAGCCTCAGCGGGGAGGTGCTAAGCAACTCAGTGAGACCTTGTCTCCAAATAAAATAATAAATAGGACTAGGATGTGGCTCAGTGATTGAGTACTCCTGAGTTCAATTTCCAGTACTAAAGAGGAAGTGACATAAGAAGTGGCTCTTCCATAAAAGCCAAAGCAATCCTCAGTGAGAAAAGTGAAGCAGGAGGCATTGCAATATCAAGCCTTAAATTGTACTACAGAGCAATAGTAGCAAAAATGGCCTGGTATTGGCACCAAAACAGATATGAAGACCAACGGTACAGAATAGAGGACACAGAGACAAACCCACATAAAAATAGTAATCTCATACTAGACAATGGTGCCCCTAAATATATATTGGAGAAAAGATAGCCTCTTCAACAAATGGTTTTGGGGGAAACCGGAAATCCATATGTACCAAAATGAAATTAGACCCTGCACAAAATACAACTCAAAGTGGATCAAGGACCTAGGCATTAGACAGAGACCCTGTAC